GATGAACTGTGTACCAACAGCCTAGAAAACATGATCTGATCCAGGCCTTAAAGACTTTTCCATCTAGAACATGGTGATCCAAGGAAGGGCCAAGGCAATCATGTGAGTTCAGGAGAACCGGGGCCCAGCCTTGGCCGGGACAACTCCTGGCTGTGTCTCCCAGGGCAGGGAGGCAGTCGAGGGTGTGTTGTCAGGTAAAAACAGGAGAACACATTACTTTACACCCATGTTATCACACACCTGGGCTTGTGTGGGTTCTGATGTCCTGCAAGCTCATATAAGATGCAGCTTTGGGGAAGTTGAGCAGGGGTTAGGTGTCAGTGTAGGAGACACTGCTCACTGTCTGTCCATCTGCCAAGTGTCTGTGTTTGTCAGCTTTAAAGTTGTATGTGTTGGTTATTAGTTTTCTGATCAATACTGGCCTTAATCTAGTCTCATGTTTCTAATTTCCCACTTAGATGTTTTTAGCAAAAAGGGCCTCATCCATCCATCCACTCTTTTCCTTTTCACCCTGCTCCCCAACCCCCTGCCTCTCTCTGTCTCTCTTTCTTTTGTCAAATGCAGTTTGAGCACCAGTTATTTGCTAGGCACCATGCTAGGCATGATTACAAGATCCAACAGGAGGGTGTCCATCCCTCGCCAAGCTGGTGCCCTATGGGGAGAGCTCACTCCAGCATATCTCTCCAGGGCGCCACAGGGAGAGTCATCCCACGGTTCTCACCAAGACCGAGGGCATCCAGAGAACATAGTGATGAACTGGGCTAGGGGGTAGTCAGAACATTAGGAAGGATTTTCATAAAGGAAGGGAAATATATGCTGAGACTTGCCAGATGAGAACATTTCAAGGATAAAAAAAAGATGAGGAATGAGCCAAGAGATGACCCTCTGCGGGGTGCTCTGTGAGAGGCCAGAATGCTGAGTGGAGGGTGGCTGTGAGGGGCAGGGCGTGGGGCTGGGAAAGCAGGCGGGGCCTCGGAGGAGGAGAAACCTCTGTCTGTGCTCCATGTGGCCACGAAAGTGACAAGTTAGGGGTCACCCAGGCAGAGAGGCACGGTTCAGAATTAGCACCCTGGTTTCCGGCCTCCTATGTCACAGTTCTTGAATGTGAAAATATTCAGAAGTATTGCAGCTGGGGGGAAAGACACAAGGGGTTTTTGCAGGGGAAGGTGATGGAGGAGAAGAAACAGAAATTGAGAGAAAAATTGACAACAATTACAATTCACTAGATGGATTGACCTATATAATGTTAACTTTGGAGCATTAAATATTAAACATAATTTGCATATAACAGGATTATGTTCAGAGTATTTAGAGGAAAAAAAGCCAAAATCCTTTCTGTTTGCTTGTTCTTACTCTCAGATTTTCAGGGAAAGCCCAGAAAAGACCTCAGGAAAAAGTTTTGTTCTATTTTGTTCTTGGTCATTTTCTTTCCTCTCATCACAGGCAGTCAGGAAGCTGAGGAATCATCTGGAATGGGCGGGGTTACATTTCACTGAACAGGAGGATGGGATGCTTTTCTTTCCCAGGACTGCTACTGCCTCCCACCCAACCCCGCTCTCCTTCTCCACCGTCCTGTGCACAGAAGCTCTAACATTCAGGTTTCTGGTCCAGGCCCCCAGCCAAGTCCTTTAAGGAGGCCTGGGCTCGGGTCCAGGAATCTGTTGTTACATCAGCTTCTGGCGTGATTCCGTGATTCTGGCAGAAATCACCACCCCCTGGGAATCTCCTGTGGAACAAACCCAGACCTGGGGGAAGGTGGGAGTTGCCAGAACAGGGGTTGTGGAGAGGCTGTCTGGGGCTGAGGGGAGGGGAGGGATGAGGGGCCCACCCCTAAAGCTCAGGGGCAGTGGCTTCGTGGCTCCATGATGGCCAAGCTGTGTGGAATGGCCAGGCCTGATAATGCCAGGTCGGGGAGAGCTGCTGCAGAAACTGTGGACTTGGGTGCGGGGAACCAAGCAAGCTGAAAGGCTGAATTATCTAAAGAACCTGGGTGGGAGAAGACTGGTTGTAAGTGCCCCCAGTCCTAGTGTGTATGCATGCCAACAGATGGGAGCACTGAGAATCTGCATTCTTGTACAGCATTCATACGATTGCACTTAAAGCATTCACAGCCTAATATCTCTGGGGAAAAGGAAAGTCTTCACAAACTTTTAAAACTCCTAACAACACAGGTTTGTCAACAGTATGGATTTCTTCCACCTTAGCAAGCCTGTGGGGAGAGAGGTCAGATTTAGACGGGCTTTGTAAGTACTCTCCTCCCACAAGGTCAGAAGAGGCTATTTTACAGTGGTTCCACTTTTGAAGCCCAACTGGACTCCACACACTGCCAACCAGACCCTCCACCCAGATCCACACAGTCTGAGAAGAGGCCTCGTTCCCAACTCTGCATGACAAAGGGCAGCTGCCCTTCCTCCTGACCACTAATGAGTCCCTTGAAAATAGCCTCCCAATCCACATTCGCAGCCTTCTTTTGGCCACAAGCTAACTACCCAATTATTTTATTTCCCCAGCAAAGCTCCTCAGTCCGCCTGGAATCCACATTCAGGACCAGGAGCCTGTGTCCAGAAAGCCTCAGGAGTCTGGGGGATTTGCCCTCTGTCTGTTTGCTTCTCCTGCTTCCCCTCCCCAGCTCAGACCGACCCTGGATTGACTGAGTCCCCAGCTTGCCTGTGGCTGATGGATCACTTCGGGGGGTCATGCAGGACTGTGCACTGGAAATAGTTGGAGGGTTTGGAGAGATCTGGAGATGGGAATTGGAAGACCTGACTTTATGCAGGCATCGTCATTAACTGGGTGAGCTCGAGGATGTTGTCACCTCTCTGAGCCTCTAAAAACCCAGAGGCAGGAGAATGGACTGGCTAGTCCATTTTAGCATTAAGCCCTCTGATTCTACAAAGTGGCCAGGGAAGAAGAGAGATGGGGCACCTTGCTGGACAAACCCTATGGGTGTAACAGTTACTCCCAGGTTCTCTCCGCTTCAGGAAGGTCCTCAAGATTGGGAAGGATTCTCAATTTCTGAACCATGGACCACCTGCCCAGGCGCCAGTGGCCCCTAGGTGCTCCCTAAACACTGGGCCCCAGAAGCCCATCCACAGAGGCAGGACTGGTCCCAGTCATTTCCATTTCCCAAGAAGGGCCCAGCTCTAGAGTCAACTCTGTGCTGGAAGGCCATCCCAGGAGCACCAGTGAGACATCCGGGGACAGCAGAGAATCCAGCAGAGGAAGGTCCTTCCACTTTTACTTTCTTCTCTGGAAAATGAAGTTTCCGTTTAACTGGTCAGTTACCCCAGGTACAGAAGCAGCTTCTGGCCCCTGGGGACCCCCAGCGGTCCTCAGCCCTGAGGCATCTCCTCAGCGGAAGAGAGTCTCGTGTGGGCACGAGATGGTCAGGGAGCAGCAGCACAGGGGCCCAGCCTCCCTTGGCCCTGTGACAGCAGGTCCCTGCTGAAACCAGCACATGGGCTGCAAGGCCTCATTGTGAGCTTCCAGGGAGCTCCTGGGGATCTAGATGTTGGTTGGGGGTCTGGCGAGGGGGCCATGGTGGGCAAGGGCAGCCTGGGTGTTATATCCTTGGCACCACCCTGGCCCCTGATAAGCCACAGTGCTTCCTCTCACCTATGGTGGACTATTGCATATTTATGGAACACCAGACCAAAACAGCTTCCGGGGACTGAGGGCCACAAGTCTCTGGTCGCCTGTAAATGTGACACTTCTGCACCTTTTGGCCTGACTTAAGGCCCAAATGTTTGCATGAAGTAAGTCCTTTCCCTGCTAATCACTTGCAAAGAAAGGCAACAGCTATTCTTTTGAAGAAGGCTACACTTGTCACTGGGAGAGCAGGAAGGCCTGCTCGGCCCGACCCAGAGGTGGCGTCTTATATTTCCAGGGGTGTTGGAACAACGTTGTATATGAGCTCCGAGATGGGATTTAAATTCCTCCTTGTGAATTACACAAATTCTGAGGAAGTGGAGGTGGGAGAGGAGAGGAAAGGGGAACAGAGAAGTAGCAGAGGCCACAATTCTGTGCCCTGTAGAATCTCCCCTTGTTCAGCTGTCAGGATTTCTGTATTTCTTCTGACCTTGTCCCGTGCCCACATTTGACAGAATCTATGTTTCCTCCCCTTCAAATAACCCTAGCTCTGGCACTTACTAGCTGTATGCCCTTGGGCAAGTCAAGTAACAGTTTTATGCCTCAGTTTCTTCATCTATACAATGGGAGCAATAATGGAGAATTGTTGTGAGGATAAAGATCTAATGTATATAGAACAGTCAGAACAGCACGCAGCCCATGAGCACTATTAGCCATTTTGATTATTATCAGAGTTATTATTCCTCCCCTTCCTCAAATTCTAAGTCCCCCTCCACCTTGCTACTAAAACCCCTCTATGTAAATGCACATGCCCAGGTATATGTGTATGCCTATATATGGAGAAGGGGCTGAGGGGTGATCCCTGCCCACTGGGCCCCTCGGCCCCCAACCACAGTCTTCCTCCTCTTCCACCATCATTGCTTCACTCCCACATGACAGGCCATGGAGAAGTGAGGCTGTCGCGTTTTAGGAAGGGCTGCCTCCTGCATATCCTCAAATCCCCTGTGCCAGGAGGGGCCTCCAGGACAGACGCCTGCATTGACCTCCTTGCTCTTCACTTGCTGAGCTGGTGCAGGCAGGTTGCTTCACCGTGCTGAGTTCTGACTTTGTATCTGGAAGATAAGCAGATGCTAACACCTGCCTCCTAGAACTTTTTTGGAAATACCCGTTCAGAGTCCAGAACAGTGCCTGGCACATCATAAGACTGAAGAAATGACTGCTCTTCTTGTTATCATTTCTAGAAAAGCACGCCTTGAGACTGCAACGAGCAGGCAACAAACCCTTATAGAGTGCTTCCTCTTGGCCAGGCACTGTGCCCGAATGTTCTGCATGTGTAATTTAATCTTCACACTAGCCCTATGAAGGCGAGGACTACTATCGCCCCCTCCTTCAGAGGAGGAAACTGAGGCACTGAGAAGTTAAGGAACTTGTTAGTAAGTCACATAGCCAGCAAGTAGCAAGCCCCATATTTGAACCCTGCTAGTCCAAAATGTGTGTTTGAGGAGGCACAGGGGCTCCATGTGCTCACACCTGTGGCTTTGGACAGGACATGACTTTGGGCAGCTCTGACCTCTGCATTCCAGGTTCTTATCCCTCATTCCATATCTGGGCATGACCTGGGTTCAAACTGAGCAGGCTCACTGTGCAGGGGCTCCCCGGAATGATGCTGCACCCACAGGGTCTCTCACTGCAGTCCTGTGATTGCAAAGACACTTGCAGACATGGCTTCTCCTGGCCCTGCTGAACAGAGAGAGCTGCCAGCTTTCCTGTCCTGATAGCCTCTGGCTTCCTTCTGTCATGGGGGAGGACAGGAGCGGGAGGGGGGCTTACAGGGACTGATGAATGGAGGGAGGTGACTCAAGGGGCTTCTGTGAAAGTGCCCTATATGGGCCTGGATTGCAGGCAGGAATGCAGAACGCTTTCCCTCCTTCCTCTCAGTAAGCAAAGCTAGACCCAGACTAGTCTCTAGGACAGAGATTTAAATAGATTTAAACAGCTGGTTAATGGGACTCTCTTTTTCACAGAATAGGCTGGCTTTTTCATAGATGAGGACTAGGGTAGGGTCAGGGAAATTCAGCAGTCAATAAAATTATTATTGAGCTGCCAGACAGCAGTGGTCCGAGGCCCCAGGCCTGTGTGGCATCCAGACAGCCTTTGTGCCCTTTCTAGACATCCCCCTCCTCAGGGTTCAGGGACCTGTCTGGCTGCTGAGCTCCCAGGAGGTCCAAGGGGTGTGACCTCCCTCCCTCTCTACCTCCCTCCCAGGCCCAGCCCAGGGCTGGCTATAAAGCCGGCCCAGCCTGGCTCTCAGCACACCCAGCTGGGACCCTCCTGGAGCCTCCTCTGGGGACACATCCACTCTCCTCCTTCTCCTGAGCAGCACCATGCGGCCCCTGTGGCTCTGCTGGGCACTCTGGGCGCTGCCCCTGGCCGGCCCCGGGGCGGCCCTGACCGAGGAGCAGGTCCTGAGCAGTCTGCTGCAGCAGCTGCACCTCAGCAAGGTCCCTGTCCTGGGCAAGGCCGACATGGAGGGGCTGGTCATCCCTGCCCACGTGAGGGCCCAGTACGTGGCCCTGCTGCAGCGCAGCCACGGGACCCGCTCCCGGGGGAAGAGGTTCAGCCAGAACTTCCGAGGTGAGGCCCTCCCTCTGCACTGCACCCTGGTCCTCGTGGTGGGGGAGGGCTAAGACTGGATGTGCCTGCTCTGGGGAGGTGTCCACAGGACAGTGAGGAGAGATCATGAACTGGGACTGGGCCTGGGCCCTGGTCTCTGTTTGGACTGAGGGCCCCACCCCTTAGGGCCAGGAGAAGCTGTGTCAGGCTGGACCCACTTCCAAAGCCAAGGCATCAGAGCAGAGAGAGGTGCAGAAGAGAAAGTAAAGCCAATGTGAGAAAGCGGCTGTGGCAAGGACCCTGGCACAGCCTCAGGGAGCTCAGGTAGCATCACGGATTCTCGGGTTCCATTTTCATACTGCAACTAGTGGACTGACTTTGAGCAAATGGCTTTAGAATCTTCTTTTTTGTTTTGTTTTGTTTCTCTGTTTGCTCCTCTGGAGCAACAGCTGGTGTAACTATATCTGACCCATCTCCCAGCGCTGTGAATATTAAAGTGTGTTATTCTGGATAGAAATGTGTAGGAACAATACTAAAGTAACACCGAGCTATTCAGCTTTAGGGACCCAGCCATCCTGAATGCTATTCAGCCTCTTACATCCCTGGGCCTGGACTCACCTCCTCAGTGTCCAGAGCTAGACCCAACGCCAGGTGCCCCCAGGTGAGGATTCTGATCCTCAACATCTCAGCCAGGGCAGCCCTGCCAGCCCTGCCAGCCTTCCTGCTGGGCAGGTTGTTATAAACAAGGACCGGACCCAACGGGGGTTTGCAGGTAACTGGCCTTGGTCCAGGGAGACAGAACAGGGGCTAGTTTCTCCCTGCCTGGCCACCACCTCAGTGGCCTTGCACCCTCCGAGTTCCCCTGGCTCTCGGAGAGGCCTTGCTGACCCTGTTCGTGTCCC